ATTGTACCAATGTTACATGCACAAAATTCTCTGTTACTCGTACACTCTAGGGGCACCCACCTTTACCCAGTTCCTAGGGATCAAGGTGTAACCCTCTTAATTTAGGCACCCTCCTTACCCTTCCGTGAGCTCAGGGTGTAACCTAACACTCTGCAGGTTTGTGGGATCTTTTACCATTGAAAGAGCCTTACACAGTAATATCCTACTTAACCTCTATTTATTAACAACCACCAAAAGAGAATACACATGCTAAGAATACAATGCGCACCACTCCCAATAAGGCGGATGAATTTTCGGGATGGCCAGTCAGGATCAGGTCATCTGGGGACTTCAGCTTCTGCATGGTATCATTAGCAGAGTATTGAGGTCTTGCAGCCCTGATCTTGGGGCTGTATCCTGGAGTTGGTTCCAAAGAACTTCCTTTTGGTCCCCAGTTTATATAGTGAAACATGCTTAGCTGTACCTTAACCCATCATTTTACTAAAATATTACTAAACAATCCTAATATATTGTAAAACAATCCTTTAACCAATCATACCCCACCACCTTAAGTGATTTACACTTGGCAAAATTAATTATGTAACAGACAGAAACAATCAAACGACCAGACAGATAAACAATAGAGAAGTGGGGACCATAAAAACAAAACAATAGAAGTATAGATTTTACAATCACAACTGTTGATAAGTGATTTCTTGCCAGATAGAATACTGTCAGACAAAGTTTTCTTTAACTATCTTAAGATCTGTTTCTTTATCTGGTGATGGTGGGTACTAGTAGGATAGTATCACCTTCCTAACAGCCCAATATTACATTGTTTTAATGTAATTTAGATGGAATGTGAGGATGTGACTTTCTGCTTCTTAGCTAATGGCTGCTGCTCTCTGCAGGAAAAGGCCTTATCCTTACACCAAAGCCAAATCTGCAGAATATTCACATTCTATCCCCCCCCCCCCACACACACACACACCGTCCCAGCGTTCTTCAGCATGTTCTTATAACAGCTCTGCATACATTTTAAAAAATATTTTGACCACAGCTTGCTATTTTTCTAAGACTGAGATGGTGATCCAGGACCTATAATTCACACTTTATACTAATATTTCACATAAGACAGCTTTACAAAATGCAGGCTTCCTATAAGTTTGAAAAATAATGTGCTTCCTATTAAATCAACCACTTGTGCAAAAATGACAAAAAACCCAGCTGGGAATAGTTCTGGAGTCCTCAATCATTTATGATACAGTCCATGTAATTTCTAAGGTTCAAATCAGCCTTTCTACTTAGTTTATTACAATGCTGACAAATCAAAACCCACAAAGAGGTAGTGTGATGGGGAAGTTTGAAGCGGCATAACAAAGAGAAGCCTGATTGGCTGGGAGTATGGACTGCATCTAGAGGTTTAACTGGTCTGTTGTTCCATATATATGAAGTGGAATTTTCCTAACGCTGTATAAAAAGGTGTCTGATCATAAGAGTTGCTGAGCACTCCCAATTCCCATTGACTTACATGGGGATGGAGGCCACAGAGCTCTTTATAGGACTGGGTGCTTGGTTTCAAATGCATTTGTATTAAATTAGGCCATGTCTATACACAGAGCACTGCACCCGCGCAGCTGTACTGATGCAGCTGCGCCATGGCAGTGTATCTGGAGAGATGCTCGATGCCAGTGGAAGAGAGCTCTCCCTTCAGCATAAAAAACCCCACCTCCATGAGCAGCAGAAGCTATATTGGCCGGAGAAGCTCCCCCACCAACATAGTGCTGTGTACAGGGATGCTTATGTTGATGTAACTTATGTCGCTCACGGGGGTGGTTTATTCACATCCCTGAGCAGAGTAAATTACGCCGAAATAGGTAGGGTGACCAGGTGTCCGGTTCTCGATTGGAACACCCAGTCAAAAAGGGACCCTGGGGCTCCAGTCACCACCACTTACCGAGCCGTTAAAAGTCTAGTCAGCGGTGCTGCAGTGCTAAGGCAGGCTAGTTCCAACCTGTCCTGGCTGGCTCCACGCTGTGCCCCAGAGGCAGTCAGCATGTCCAGGTCCTAGGCGGGGGGCCACGGGGCTCCACACGTTGCCCTCACCCTGAGCACCGACTCCACACTCCCATTGGCCGGTTCCTGGCCAATGGGAGAAGGGGGGTTAGTTCCTTCAGGCGAGAGCAGCGTGTGGAGCCTCCTAGCCCCCCCGCCAAGGACCCAGACCTGCTGGCTGTTTCCAGGGTGCATGCAGCATGGTGCCAGGACAGGCAGGCAGCCTGCCTTAGCCCCCTCGCTGTGCCGCTGTCCGGGAGGTGCCTGAGGTAAGCTCACGCCCCGACCCCCAGCCCAGAGCCCTCTCCCACACCCTGAACCCCTCATCCCCAGCCCCACCCCAGAGTCTGCACCCCCAGCTGGAGCCCTCACCCCCTCCTGCATCTCAACCTCCTGCCTCAACCCGCAGCCCCCTCCTGCACCCCAAACCCCTCACCCCCTCCCACACCCCAACTTCCTGGCTCAGCCCAGAGCCCCCTCCTGCACCCTGAACCCATAGGTGCTGGAACTAGAGATGCAGGGGTGCTGCAGCACCCCCTGGATTGAAGGGGTTTCCATTATATACAGGGTTTACAGTTTGGTTCAATGGATCTCAGCACCCCCACTATAAAAATTGTTCTAGCACCCGTGCCTGAACTCCTCATTTCTGGCCCCACCCCAGAGCCTGCACCCCCAATGAGAGCCCTCACCCCCCTTCCACACCCCAAACCCCCTGCCCATTGAAAGTGAGTGAGGGTGGAAGAGAGCGAGCCACTGAGGGAGGGGGAATGTAGCGAGCAGGGGGCAAGGCAGGGAAGAGGTCTCAGGGAAGGGGTGGGGCTAGGGTGTTCAGTTTTGTGCGACTAGAAAGTTGGCAACCCTAGACATAGGCTGTTATGTAGACATAGCCTTAGGCCATGTCTGCGCTTACCCGGGACCGATGCTGCTGCAATCAATGCAGCGGGGGTTAAAGATCCGCTAAATCGATGGCAGAGTGCTCTCTGGTCGACTCTGCTACTCCACCGGAACGAGAGGAGTAAGATAAGTCTACAGGAGAGCATCTCCCGTCGACGCAGCGCAGTGTAGACCCCGCAGTAAGTTGACCTAAGCTATGTCGACTCCAACTACATTATTCACGTAGCTGGAGTAGCGTAACTTAGGTCGACTTACCCGGGTAGTGTAGACAAGGCCCAAGTGTGTATCTTCATGGGCACTCAAGTCCTGATGTTTGAAAAAGTTTGGGTTTGAATGGACCCATTTCTCCATTGCAAAATCTCACTGCAAACCCAAAGGCTAGGATTGTGTTCAACTGGTTCTTTCATGTTCACTCAGATTCATTGGAATCCATGTGCAATTAGGGTCCATATTAGAACACCATGCAGCTTATCCCTGTACATTACTAAGCAAACACAGTTCAAATTTACCAGCAATAGCAGCCTGGGGACATATGTGGATAGCCTCATAAAGCAAAAAAATTTTTGCAAAGATCTTTGATGAACAGTTCAGACACAAAAAAAGAAGTTCTAAGAAACCACTTCTAGTTCATGGACGGAAGTCCAACTCAGATCAAAGTTGGTTTTGAGTGCTTGGTGGTTTGAAATAAACATTTCACAAGCTCTAATTATTATACATGTAAATATAATCACAAGTATAAAAATAGATTTTTTGCATTATTTTCATCTTCAGAATATTAATTTTTCATTTTTAACATGTCCTTAGAGAAATTTAAGTTTTTTGAAAAATAAATTTAAATTCTTATTGCACACATTAGGGTACATTTTTCATGATAATTAGGAAAAAATATTGAATACAGTACGCAAAAATGTGGTGAATTTGTGAATATTTTGATGGTGAGAGGAGCTCATCATGACATAAAACAATTTACCACATCTTTAAAGGGCCCATTGCCTAATCTCCCACAACTAAATGGTTTCAATGCATATTTCAACTTCTGGCAAACACTGAGATTACATGTTACACTGACAAAAATGGAACCTGTGTTGCTCCACTGATGATGGCAGTGGGAGAAGCTGTAATGTAACATGGCCCAGCTGTTTCTTTGGGTTTTTTTTTTACCATTGTTAGGGCTCAGAATAGGATTAGACAATATGGTGGAACATAGATGTGAGGCTGCCTGAGTCCTATTCGATGCTGCAGCTTCAATCATTGCTATTACTAGGGGAGCTGCACTGGTGATGAATTACAAGTACCAGGTTTCCCAGGATAGAGGCAGCCCTTACGAAAGGGAGAGCAGAAGTTTTCTCCAAATCCTGATGACTTTTTCAAATTGAAGTCTGTGAGGTGTTCTCTGCATGTGGGACCTACTCCCGCAGTCCTTGCTTAGGCAAAATTCCGAACAATTTCAACACCAGTTGCCTAGAAACCCTTCTTGTTTTCATTTGTGTTTTAGTGTCCTCAGAACCATATTCAGCTCTTATGGCGTGCTGAAAGAAGGAAAGTGTTCACCAAAAAACAACCCACTCCCAGATCTGCACTGGATGGAGGGGAAACTCCCATTATCTCTAGCTGCAAGGGAAAGATTTGGCAAGGAAGTAGTTTCAGTGTAGAATGTTCCTTTAAATAGAATCCAAGTCAATCAGGGGTCCAAGTGACATACAGGCTTGTGTTAATAAGGCTTAAAGCCCTTCTATTGAACAGCTGTAATAGTTCATTACTGTCAAGCAAAATTCTCATTGACTTTGGGATTTAGCTGTGTAAGAACATCAAGATTTCATCCTGTAGCTTTAACTTTTAACAATATAAAATTAATAAGCAGGACCAATACTGTACATTAGAAATGAACTAGCCAATACGAATAGTTGAAAAACTATAAAGCGTCAAGTATCTGCATGATGTTTGCAGTTCTTCAAATGAATGTCACAGCGTAGACTTGCCTAACTTTGACAGTGAAACCACAGAACAATAAATACTTACAGCATAATCCAATAATTCTATTTACAATAATTAACCCTTTTAATTATTTACAGAGTGCCACACCAAAGCAAATGCTGAAGGAATCTGAAAGCTGTTAAGGACTGAAAATAATTAGAGGCCAGAGAGTATTTCTAAAAAGTAATGTGAACTGTATTCAGCTAAAGAACTTATTGTGGAAATCTAATTAAAGGTTTGCATTCTTGTGAGTGAAAAAGCCTGGATATTTTCCTAATCTTGTCCAACATGTTGTTCTGTGCCTATGTATCCTTTTTCCACATTGTCAAATCAGTTAACATAGGTAAGTATATCTTACCTCTCCAAAATACAAAAGTTGTGGAATTCAAGTTCTATATAACAATGTTCGTACTTTGTTCTAGTTTTAAACAAAAAGTATTATGTAATTCTATTATATTAATTATTGTGTTTCATTCACTCATTTACTTTAAGATGTTGACAATTTAAATCATATTCTATCAGTCACTAAACTTACACATTTTCATATCATGTTACTTTAAAGTATAATCTGCCGTTTGCATCACTTCTGTTTCCTTCCTTTTAGACCTTTACCTATTAAATCTATGTGTAAGGAAAAGAAAGAAAGTAGGAATAGTTCAGTGCCTTCTCATTGCAGTCAGAGGCCTCAAAACTGAAAACCTTGGAATGAAGTTCATAATAAAGTCATCTTTTAGACAGCACACATTATATCAAAAACCCTTGTTTGCCATAAAATTATTTCACTTGAAAGGGTTAACTGATGCATGACAAAGACACTGTGAACAATTCATAATGAAATGGCAACATTTCTGTTGATAAATATTGTTTTGATACCAGATGCCTAAGGAAGCCACGCCATCATTAGTAGCAATAATGGAACAGATTCGCTGGTCTGTTAAAGCTGCTTTGCACCCACACCAAAACCAGGTTGGTGCCTGGTGGCTTGAGGATCAGGGAGTCTCAAAGATTACTTGGTGATCCTCATCCCCACTGAGTTGCACCAGGCTGCACATGGCCAGTCCTGTGGATCTGGCCCTCCATGCTGAAGAACAGGAAAACCTCTTTGCCATTGACTGGTAATACATGGAGTCCCACAGTGATGTCCTGCTTTTGCATTATGTTCCCTCAACACAACTCATCATCAGCACATGCTGTGAGGTGACCATGACAGTGCAGTATCAAGATGGGCGGCTCTGTGACTCTAGCTGATATTATCTATTCTTCCCCTCCTGTTTCTGGCTTCATAGAGGGTTGGGGCGAGATCCCAATGACTTGGTCCAAGATTGCCCATGCCATCTCGTATGTGTCAGGCAGAGGAAACAGAACTCTGCCGAACAGACTATATGAGGATTACATGCAGCTCTACAGCCATCAGGCTGAGTTTCACTGAGTTCCAAAGATATGTGACGGAATGGAGTATGTTTGGCTCAAATTATGAATAGCATTTTGTGTTATGTGGTAAACTCATGGCTAACCTTGCTCAGGGCAAGCCTATTGAATTGCTTCCCAGACAGCAACCCTCCCCTAGAAAGGCACTTAACACCTCATTGAAGGACTATCGCTGAGAAGCCCTCACCACTAGTCTTATGCCCTATCCCCTCTCTTGTGAACCTGCCAGGCCTTGGGACACTCTTGTCCTAAAAACTGCCTATAGAAGCTGTGACGGGATCCCCCAGGGGTGCAGCCTGGGACTGTGGGACCGCTGTGCCCCCTTAACTGTCTCCAGCCTGGGCTGTCTCTCACAATGCCTTGCTAGTGACCACCAGCAAGCCCCTCCAGGCACTGTGATCACTCAGCACAACCCTGGAAACACCTCCATTTTACCTCTTTCCTGCTCAGACCTCTGGACTTATACTAATGGGAGCATTCTAACCAAGGGACTGAGGTCCTTCCAATGATTTGGAAGCAACCAGAGATGTGACTTAAACCAGCAGTTTATTCTATCACTGTTACAAGCCTGAACCAAGAACTTTGCAATTATTGTATGTGATTCCTTTAACCAATTTTAACTCTCACCTTTCTTTCTTTCTTTCTTTTCTTTAAATAACCCTTTAGATTTTAGATACTAAAGGATTAGCATGAGCGTGATTTTTGGGTAAGATCTCAGTTATATACTGACCTGGGTGTGTGGCTGGTCCTTTGGGATCAGAAGACCCTTTTGTTTGATGAGGCTGGTTTTAAAGAACCACTCATCTTTAAATCCCATGTTTTTGGTGGTGATACAAGGACTGGGATACCTAAGGAAACTGCTTTCCTGACTTCTTCTTAGCCAATGTGGTGAGAGAAGTTTTACTTTTGTTGCTTGTTTGGTATATCTTATGGGGGAATAACCACCAGTTTTGAGGTGTATCTGCCCTATTTCTCAACAGTTTGTCCTGAATTTGGTATTCTCAGTTGTGACCCACTGAGACACAATTACAACATCCATTGAGAGTTTTGGCTTATGGCCCAGTTTTTTAAAGGTACTTAGGTGTTGCTGTGCTAAGCTTTGTAACATGTAACTGATTTAAGAGCCTAAGTCTCATTTTCAAAATGAATTTAGTCATTTAAGTCTAAATCCCTTCGACAGACGATGGGGTTTAGACTCCAAAGTGCCTAAATCCCTTTTGAAAATGAGATTTAGGCTCCTGACGCAGGTGTTACAACATTGAGAGCAGCAACACCTAAATACCTTTAAAAATCTGGGGCTAAATGCCTTGCCTAAGGTTACAAAGGAAGTTAGTGCGAGAGCTAGGATTCAAACCTACAGATTCCAGGTTTCCTGTCCTGTGGTCTCAGACCACTACACCATACCATTCTCGTTTTTAAAGAATAATGATATGGTAAACAAAAGTAAGGCTCCTTTATGTACAAGGGAGAAAAAATGCAAGCATGCACTTTGCACAGAAGCAGATATTATTTACATGAAAACAACACTGCTTTACAAGATTGGTTTTCACTGAGGTTTATATAATCAGTTAGCCTAATTTTTTTTCTTGGCACTCACAAAATCATAATATAAGCTTTCAAAAGCAGTTGTACTACTTTGGTGAGGATCATACTATGATAGACATAATATCTAAAAAAAATTATATGGTAGTCTAAATCCAGAGGGGAAAACATCATTCAGCGCTGAAGAATTCATACCAAAAACCTTGGATCTGAGACAACAGTATCTATTATAAGAAACAATTTAGATTCACAGGAATCCATGCATTGTGCCAGAACTTAGAAAAGGGCCAATTTTCAAAAAGGGCAACCAGGATGATCCAGGTAACTACTGGTCAGTTAGCCTAACATCAATCTTGGACAAAATAATGGAAAAGCTGATATAGGATTCAGGTGATAAAGAAGGATAGGAATATAATTAAGCCAGGGAACATGGTTTTACGGAACGTAAGTCTTGTCAAACAAACTTGATTTCATTCTCTGATGAGATTGCATTTGACCTAATACTGCATAACATTCTGATTTTTAAAACTGGCACTATACAATGTCAACAGAGCACATATTGAATGGATTAAGAATGGACTAACTGACAGCTCTCAGAAAGCAGTTGTCAGTGGGGAATCATCACTGACTGGCACTAGGCCCAATGCTATTCAACATTTTCATCAGTGATCTGGAAGCAAATATAAAATCACTGAGGATAAAATTTTCAGATGACAAAAAGATTGGTGGAGTGATGAGAATAGGGCAGTCATAAAGTGCAGTTTGGATCGCTTGGTAACCTGGCTGCATTCAAACCAAATACATTTTAATATAACCAAATGCAAAATTATCCATCTAGGAACAAGGAATCTAGTCCATGCCTACAGAATGGGGGATTGTATCCTGGAAAGCAGTGACTCTGAAAGGGATTTAAGGGTTATAGTGGACAATCAACTGAATGTGAGCTCCCAGTGTGATACTGTAGCAAAAAAGGCTAATGTGATCATTGGTTGTATAAACAGGGGAGCAGCTAGTATGAGCGGGGAGGTGATTTTACCTTTGTCTACAGCATTCGTGAGACAGATACTGTAAAACTGCAGCTGGTGTCCATATATTAAAAAGCGTGTTGAAATATTGGAGAGGGTGCAGAAAAGAGACAAAAATTATTCAAGCAATGGAGGAAACGCCTCACAGTGAAAGATTTAAAGAGCTCAATCTGTTTACCTTATCACAAAGATTGAGCACTAACTTGATTATGGTGTATAAGGATCTTCATGGGGAGAAAATCCTAGGTATTAAAGGACTCTTTAATCTACTAGAGAAAGTCATAACAAGAACCAATGGCTGGAAGGAAGCTGAAGCCAGACAAATTCAAAGTAGAAAAAAGTCACAAATTTTGAACCCAAAGAGTAATTAAACATGGGAACAAACTGCTAAGGGAAGTAGTTGATTCTCCATCTGTTAATGCCTTCAGATCAAGACTGTATATTTTTCTGGAAGTTATGTTTTAGTCAAACACAAGTTATTGGGCTCAATTCAGGAGTAATGGAGTGAAATGCAATTGCCTGTGAAATAGAAATCAGACTTAATAATCTAGTGGACCCTTCCAGCCCCAGACTCTATGAATCCACAAAAAGCAGCAATAAAAATTCAATGTATAATAAAGTGAAAAAGAGGGAAGTTTATAGGAATGACTATAAATTAGCACTTATGAAATGCAGAAAACTATTATAGGCAGCTAAAGGCATCAGTGAAAAATCTATGGCTGATAGGGATCAGGATAAGGGATAAGGAGGAGGTCTCCGCCCAGAAGAGAAAGTCTATTCAAGCCCGTGGGAGATCCCTCCATTTGGTCTTCAGCTGGCTAAAGAAAGAGCCTCTCCACCTCCAAGAAAGAAACTGGAACAAAGGACAACAATCACAGGGGGTGTGAGTGATTGCTGGACCCAGACTAGAAGGAGATCAGTCTGTAAAAGGAAGTCTACTGGAACTGGTGAGGTTTTGTCTGTATTCAGTTTTATTAGACATAGACTTGAGGGTTTTATTTTATTTTGCTTGGTTATTCACTTTGTTCTGTCTGTTACTACTTGGAAACACTTAATTCCTACTTTCTGTACTTAATAAAATCACTTTTTACTTATTAATTAACCCAGAGTATGTATTAATACTTGGGGGGGCGGCAAACAGCTGTGCATATCTCTCTATCAGTGTTATAGAGGGCAAACAATTTATAAGCTTTATACAGGGTAAAACGGATTTATTTAGGGTTTGGACCCCATTGGGAGTTGGGCATCTGAGTGTTAAAGACAGGCACACTTCTGTAAGCTGCTTTCAGTCAAGCCTACA